CACAGAACGAAACCGAAGAGATTTCGGGAAACGAATAAATTTTTAGGTGTCCCAGAATTTATGAAAACAGCTGTAATATAGAAAAATTTATAGCAAAATTTTTTTTTTACTATCGCTATGACCTACGTATATGACTTATAACAAGTCATATGACTATATGACTTAGGTCATCGGCCAATACTGCTTTAATCTGTACGGCGAAGATTATTCTTGCCAACGATAAATCTTAACAGAAAACATAAAAAAGAATCCGAATATAAGATAAGCTTTCATAATAGGATGTTTTCAAATTAAAAATCAATGTATTTGTTTCAAAAATAAATAATTTATAAATTCTATTTTATAATAAGTAATGCTTTTAAAAGTTTTTATATATCTGATATAATACAGTAATTATTATAAAGAACTTTTAGCTGCTATTACTGTATATATCAATATATAACTTATCGAATCGGTAAATATTTATTCGGTCAAAATTTTCAGCTGTCCCAGTTAGAATGAAAACAGCTGTAAAACAAAAAATTTGACCCGGCCGGGTTACGAGAACCAATTAGCCTAACCTAAAATTTGAACTAGAGTTTGAAACGGGTTTATTTTTCATATAATAAAACCAGCGGTTTTACCATGGAAGAATAAACCCGATAACAAAAAAAAAAAATTTCTGGTCCCTTTTTTTGGTATCGTGTTCATTTTCAATTGGATTAGATTTTGATTAATGAACTATGATATATCGGTATGTTGATAATCTCAGAAAATTGCATATAACGGGGACTCTAACGCTAATACATATAATACAAATACATATTTTTTTACAAATTCGGAAAATGTCGTTTATTCTTATAAAGAAAATTTTACACTTGTTTCTACTTTTAGCATTAAGTTTACATTTTGTTATAGCACAAATAAAAATAGATTACCAAGGCGAACATAGAAATTATGGAGATCATGCAAAGATTCAAGAGTGGGTTTATTTTATTCAAACTTTTATTAAAAATGTTCTGAATTTTTATATTTTCTTAAACGGTCTCTTACAGGCACGTAAGGAACCATCTAAAAGACGTCCCACATCCCGATGAGATATCAGAAGAAGACGAATTATATTACCTTTTCTCAATTCATGATACTAATAATGACGGTCATTTGGATGGTCACGAACTTCGTGGAGCGTTTATCGAACATGAATCTGATGATGATTCAAATAAAAATCTTTTGACAATCGAAGAAATTGTCGAAATGATCGATCATGTGTTATTAGAAGATGACATGAACAATGAGTAAGTCTTCCACTATTTAAATTCTAATTGATACATATCGCCCTTATTTTAATTTCATTATTAATATTTTGAAGCGGCAAAATAAGTTGGGATGAGTATCTATTATCACAAACATATCACGAAGCTTAGATTGTAAAAAATTTGGGTAGTTTGAAGAACAGGTAACCCAGTGACGCTCGGCCTAGGGTTAGAGTATAATTTAGGCTGATTTTGTTAGTGCTAGTAAACAAACATGTAGATCACTGGGTAAAGTGTCCCAAAAACTTAAGTTTTTTTTTTTTTTTGAGCAAATAATTAGATTACGTCTTAGATTATATAATTTCAAATGTCAATCATATTTACGAATCTTAATTCTAATGTTTTAATACTTGTACAAAAACATTGATGCTTTTATCGAAAGAAATATTACCTATTTTATTTAATATTGGTAAAATTAGTAATTTCATTTGAGTACTATCTTAGCTAAAATTGAGTAAATTATCACCTCATTCCTCGAAACACTCATCATCTTCATTCCACTTGATCACGTCAAGATCAACTCCCATTGTCTTAAGCATATATTTCATCGTACCTTTCTGTTCCACATC